AAAATTCACCACGACCTGGCATAGATAACAGACTGTATATTACAGAAGTTACAAACAGATGTGGTAGATAACAGACAGTGTTTTACAGAAATTCACCACTACCTGACATAGATAACAGACTGTATATTACAGAAGTTACAAACAGATGTGGTAGATAACAGACAGTGTTTTACAGAAATTCACCACTACCTGACATAGATAACAGACTGTATATTACAGAAGTTACAAACAGATGTGGTAGATAACAGACAGTGTTTTACAGAAATTCACCACTACCTGACATAGATAACAGACTGTATATTACAGAAGTTACAAACAGATGTGGTAGATAACAGACAGTGTTTTACAAAAATTCACCACTACCTGACATAGATAACAGACTGTATATTACAGAAGTTACAAACAGATGTGGTAAATAAAAGTCGTAGATAATTCATTCACTGTGTTAAGTACACGTTCAGTAGTATGAGAGTTAGATATAAATCAGTTTGTCTTACATACAAGTACATCACAATGATCCCCTACTGTACGTTTAAACTTAGCCTTTAAGGTTTATTTCTTCTGTTATATTTATATTCTAATTGTTACTTACTTTTCAGAATGCTGAAATCATGGAGAGGCTAAATGAATCAGGAGACTTAAGACAGTTTCTTCGTCCATACAAAGTAAGTATAATGATAGGTTTGAAAGAAAGGTATACATTTGTTGCCTGAAAAATACCCTGTAATTAAAATCTTATGTGTCTTATCTACCGATTCTAAACTTATCGTGTAATTCAATAGTGAATTTGGTGTAAAAAATCTGAAATATATAAACATTAGCATTATACGTTTTCTAGACTTACAGACTATGACATTTTGCATAAATAGTTCTTTTTAAAACAAAGTGAGCATGCACTTGGTTGTATTAAAAAATAATGTTTAACAAAGTGATCATACATGGTTGTATTAAAAGTAATGTTTAATACTAAAGTGATTATGAACATGGTTGTACTAACGTGATCATGTACATGGTTGTATTAAAAGTAATGTTTAATACTAATGTGATTATGAACATGGTTGTATTAATGTGATCATGCACATGGTTGTATTAAAAGTAATGTTTAATACTAAAGTGATTATGAACATGGTTGTACTAACGTGATCATGTACATGGTTGTATTAAAAGTAATGTTTAATACTAATGTGATTATGTACATGGTTGTATTGACGTGATCATGTACATGGTTGTATTGACGTGATCATGTACATGGTTGTATTAAAA